TCCCCCCTCCCATTTCTTCTGTCTTGGATTATCTTTGAAGCTATTCCTCCTGTGCTCATGTACTTCCTTGCTTGCTTTCTCTCACATATCAGGGATGACTAACATAGTAGCCTCCAGATGTGGTTGGATTGCGACTCCAGTTCCCATCATTCCTCATCATTGGCTATGCTAGTTATGACGGATGAGATTTCTAGTACAACAGTTTTTGGAGGGCCCGCTTCCATGATACTGAGTATCTGCATTTATTTTTATTTCAATGCAGTTTATATCCCGATCTGTCAAGGTAACATTAATGTAAGCAAGGTTAAGAACAGTTTATGAGAGGAATTTCTTGGTTTCATTATTAAGATGACCCATGAGCGTGGAATTGGGCCTCCTCCTAGTATGTTACTAAATAGGTGGAGTCCCCAGTGGTGCAATGGGTTAAACCTTGTGCTGGCATGACTGCTGACTGAAAGATTGGCAGTTCAAATCCGGGAAGCAGAGTGAGCTCCCGTCCTATCAGCTCCAGCTTCTCATGCGAAGTCATAACAGAAGCCTCCCACAGGATGGTAAAGCATCCAGGCATCCCCTGGGCAACGTCCTTGCAGACGGCCAATTCTCTCACACCAGAAGTGACTTGCAGTTTCTCAAGTTGCTCCTGACACAAAAAAGAAAAAGCTTGAAGACACTCTCGGTATATAGACAGCCATTAGTAGACATAGTGGTTGCTTGTATATTCCCAGTAGGTGGGTGGCTGCACCCGTGTTGGTATCTGGTTGTTTTTCCTGTACTGTCTGATGCACTTGCAGATTCTCAAGTCGCTCCTGACACGAAAAAGAAAAAAAAACTAAAGAGGTGAAGAAATGTTGGCATCAGCACTTCCCATTATAACATTTGCTTATGAAGCCATCTGCCTCTGGTGCCTTGCATTCCCCAGCAACTGATAACACATAAGTTTAGTACCCTTGTTACTGTGAATGTTATATACCTATCCTGATGAGTATCCATTGACGGCCCCATATTCCATAAATGTTATTTACTTCCCTTAAAACTGTACAAGTTGGCAGCGCTTTTGTGTCTTGGAGTAGTTGTGCTTTGCAAGTGAAGTTTATTCCCTTCTGTTTTCCAAGATTTATTTATTTATCGTATCAGGAGCAAACCAAGGGTACAGTTGTAATGTGTTTTTAAAAAAACACAAAGTTTAAAAACTTGGCATTCTATTAAATGTCCTTTGACCAGTAGCTGACCACTTGGAGTACCTCTGGTGTTGCTGTAAGGAGATCCTCTGTTGTGCAAATGGCAGGGCTCAGGTTGCATTGTAGTAGGTGGTCTGTGGTCCGCTCTTCTCTATACTCGCATGTCATGGACTCCACTTTGTGGCCCCATTTCTTAAGGTTGGCTTTGCCTCTCGTGGTGCCAGACGCAGTGTATTCAGTGCCTTCCAAGATGAAGTTCTTTCTTCTCAGTCTCCTTCCATAGTTGAGTCATCTGTTTGTTTTGTTAAAGATCTCCAGAACTTTTAGCCATCTCTCATAGGACTTGTTTTGCAGGACCCATCACCATCCTGACTAATATGCACCAGGCAGTATTTGAGAGGCAGCCTACAGAGCACGGATCAGAAGCTTGTTTTCTTTGGAAATTGTGCTTCCATTTGTGTAGCATAGGGTCCCATGGATCTGAAGTCTGCCTAGAATGTGCTCTTCTCACACATCATGTGTGTCACGAGGCCTCCATCCTGGTCTCCAAAATATGTTTATTGCCCCTGGAGACTTCTTGACACATTGAGTGTAATTTACAAAGGCTGGCAGCCGATCCCCATGGGGCCTTTCACTCTTGAAGGAGCAGGCCGCATGAAATCATGTATTGATTTTTCATTTTGACCAAATCAACAGAGCGATCCCAGCAGGAGGTGGGACTGGCTTTTTGCAAGGCAGACATGATCGGTTGCCAAGTCCAAGAGGTTAAAGGCTGGCGAGTGAGACCCTGAAATGATTGGCTTGACCTTTATGAGAAGTTAGCCATCTGGGTCCCTGTTTTGGTTGTGCTCTGTAAGGGGGAGATGGCTGTTGGCTTGAAAAGGGAACTTGCCAGTGTTAAGAAAGGATGGCAGGCAATGCAGACCATTCAAAAAGGCAATCGACATTCATGAAAATGGGTCTCAGAAGCCATTGTGTTGTAGTGGTTGAGTGCTGGACTGGGACTGGTTGAATAGTGGTTGAGGGCCAGGCCCGTTGAGCCATCAAACTCACTGGGAGATCTTGGGCCAATCACACTCTCTCAGCCTAGCCTACCTCACAGTATATAATGGGGAGGAGGAAACCGATGATCTTGATCTTACCCTCATTGACGAAAAATGAGATAGTGGTCTAACCAATGAAATAAATATGATAGCAGCCTAAGTTAACCACTATTTCATAGATGAGGGAAACATTATCCCTGCAGTTATTTTAGCCTAATATCCCATTGCACCAACTAAACAAAGCCAACGGTAAAGGACTGTGGGGTTGTCATCCAAAACATCTGATGGGCTAGTGTTTCCCTCATAGTGACTAAAAGGGTTTTAGGAGGAGAATTGAAGGATGTTAAGGGAAGAAACATTTAAGATCATCTGGGGAGGCCCTGATCTCGGTGCCGCCTTCTCGCGGGCGCGATCGGCGGAGATGAGTGACAGTGCCTTCTCAGTGGTGGCTCCTCGAGTGTGGAACTCCCTCCCCAGCAATGTTAGATCAGTCTCCTCTCTCCTGACCTTCTGCAAGAGAGTGAAATCAGGGCTTTGTGACCAAGCCTTTAAAGAACCTGTGCAATAGATAGACTTGGAACATTGGAATGGCCTGGATTATGCTTGTGGATTATGTGTTTAACTCTAAATGTATTGTTTTTAAATGTTTTAATTGTTTTAATGTACTTTAAAATTCTATTTTAATGTTTATTTACCGTATATTCCGGCATATAAGACGACTGGGCGTATAAGACGACCCCCAATTTTTTCAGTTAAAATATAGAGTTTGGGATATACTCGCCGTATAAGACCACCCCTCTTCCAATGCACACTAAATAAAAAAAAATAAAAATCAGATTTGAATTCAAGATGGTAATTTTAATTCAAATGCTTATGACATGCAGGTTCCCATGAGAGGGACATTGTACCTTACATTGTACATTACAGTTGCTCTTTCTCCCTTGAATTTCATTTATACTCTGGGTCCTTTACATCATGCTGGCAATAAGTTAAAATAAACTGTTACATGAAATAATTCTCATTTAAAGCAATTATAAAAACCAGCCAAGGTAAAGTGTCGTATCAGTTCCCTTTTGCCTTTTCTCAGGCTTCTCCTATTGACACAGCCTAAAACAGCATTGGCCTTTTTAGCTGCGGCATCATACTACTGGCTCATGTTCGACAAAGATTCCTTTCACAGAATCCTAAAGTTGGGAGGGACCTCTAAAGGCCATTTAGTCCAACCCCCTTCATTCTGCCTTCTTGCGGGGAAAGCACAATCAAAGCACTCTCGACAAATGGCTATCTAGTCTTATTAATATTAATAATGGCGTTGGAAGGGAGCTCTAAAGGCCATCTAGTCCAACCCCCTTCATTCTGCCTTCATATAGGGAAAGCACAATCAAAGCAGCCCTGACAGATGGCCACCCAGCCTCAATAACAACAACAATAACATTAATACTAATAAAAAGTTGGAAGATATCCTTTAGGCCATCTAGTCCAACCCCCTTCTGCCTTCATGCAGCAGAAGCACAATCAAAGCACCCCTGACAGACAGACTGCCATTCTCAATAATAATATAAACAATTATAAGATTCATGCTAGTAAAGGGTTGGAAGAGACCCCAAGGGCCATCTAGTCCAACCCCCTTCTGCCTTCATGCAGCAGAAGCACAATCAAAGCACCCCTGATGGACAGACAGCCATTCTCAATAATAATATAAACAATTATAAGATTCATGCTAATAAAGGGTTGGAAGAGACCCCAAGGGCCATCTAGTCCAACCCCCTTCTGTCTTTCTCTGCTCCCCCCTTGCCTTCCTCGGCGGCGGCAGCGACGGCAGAGGAGAAGGGAGCCCCGGTGGCAGGGTTTTACATAGCCTTGCTCTCCTCCTCCCTTTGCCCCCGCATGGCTGCGGGGCAGTGGTGCAAGGAGCAGAAAAGCCATGCATGGGGTGAAAGAGGGAAAGGCGCGCACCTCTCCCCCTTCTCTCTCATCCTGTGTGCACTTTTCTTGGCGGCGGTGGTGGTAAAGATGCGCGCGGGGCGAGAGAGAAGGGGGAGAGGTGCGCGCCTTTCCCTCCTGCCTCGCGCGCCTTTCCTGCCTCCACCACAGGAAGGCATCTGCGGGGCGACGTCGGAGGAGGGAAAGATGCACCCTGCGGAGGCCTGCGCTGTCTTCCACAGCTGGTGACATCTTTCCCTCCTCTCTCGTCCCGTGTGCGCCTGCTGAGGAAGGCATCTGCGGGCGAGGACGGAGGAGGGAGACCTGCGCTGGTGAGCGTGCTCACCCCTGCTGCTTCCGGAGAGGCTTCCAGCATGTCTACAGGCTCCTGCAGCAGCGCGGCGTGGGCCAGATGCTCCATTGGCCTCAATTGGGTCCAGGAAGGAGAGAGGCAGCGTGAGGAAGGCGGCCCTCCGGCCTCCTTCCTCATGCTGCCTCTTTCCTCACTGGGCCCAGCTGGGGCCCAACGGAGCGTTTTAGGGCATCAAATTGTTGCCTGTATGTAAAGCCGCCTTGAGTCCCCTCCAGGGTGAGAAAGACGGGGTAGAAATGTCATAAATAAATAAATAAAAGGCACATTTGTGTGAAGACATTTGTTGATGTTGCCTCTGAAGAAATGACTGGCCTGTCATTTTTGTGAAGTTCCACCTAGAAATATGGACACCCGAGGTGCGTTCAACGCAGTTCTAGGTTGATCTTGGTGTAGTAAGCGCTCGGTGGGATGAAAGCAGGATTATGGATGTCTTAACGTTGGTGCATGCCATGAGCTTTTACTCCTCTCCTGTTCTTGTTTTAGGGTGAGAGTGTATGACGTACGCAAAAGCAAGCCGGCCTGCTCAGTCTATGGCCACCAGCTCGGAGTCTCAGCTGTGCAGATGGATGACTGGAAGATTGTCAGTGGAGGGGAAGAAGGCCTGGTCTGTGTGTGGGACCAACGAATGGGCACCAAACTCTGGGAAATGCATGCCAGGTAATGCTCTCAGCCCATTTTCTGCAATCGGTGATCAAGCTATTTCATCCCAGTGCCAAAAAAGTATAGGTATGTGTAGTTGAAATCCACAAATGTGTGTCGATCTGTACTTATTTCAGGCTTCTTCCTTGTTTGCCACCACTTCATCCAGTTTTAGAGCAGGGCTGGGGAACCTTTTGCCTCCATCTCTAGGATGGGATTCCCAGCCCTCAAAACACGCCTTACCTCATGTTTCTCCATGGTGAGGTTGGACTTGTAACTGCCCTGTGGCTGAATTCCAGCTGCCTCTGGTGGGCGTACTTCAAAGTGGGCAAAAAAGCGATTCAATTCCTCTGCCAACATTCCCCCTCAGTAGGAATGTTATTGTTTGGTTTACAGTTAGTAGTTTGTTGAATCCCCTGCCACATCTGCCTTGCGTTGTTACTGTGGAAATGATCTAGACCAGGGGTATCCAACCTGTGACCCTCCAGGTGTTGTGGACTTCAGCTCCCTGAATTCCTGGCCATTGGACAAGCTTGTTAGGGCTTCTGGAAGCTGGAGGGCCAAACATCTGGAAAGCTGTGGTCTAGATAAAAGTGATATAGGGTCTTATGAACCTGTTGTAATAAAATGAATCCACAGGGCATGGCCCGTTTGGAGAGGTTGTGGGTGCTTTGTGCAGCTTTCCTAACTTCACTTCTTACAGCTGTTGGACTACAGTTCCCATCATTCGTGGGCAGCATGGCTAATGACTTGGGCTGATGGAAGTTGAGGTTCAGTACTTCTGTGCTGGGTTGGGATAATATATTACAGTATGATTCTCATATCCATAGGGATATATTCCAAGCCCCCTCCCTCCCCCCAACAACGTAGATATTAGCATGCCCTATAGTTTGACTACACTTGGGCAGGAAGCATACCATAAAATTGCACTGCAGTACCTGGGGAGGCCCACAAACACTTCTGTGCAGGGAGAATATTTTTTGCAGCATGGGTAAATGAAACCATTTATATCCAATCCATAGTTAATAAAGTTGTACTGTATACTGTGGGACCTTTAGAATGTAAAATGGTTGAATTCCCTCTTGAGTGTGCAGCATATTGCCCTATTTGTACCCATAACGTCAGTGAAGGTTTCACACCACACCTTGTTTTTGCCCTCCCAGTTGATAGAATCTGAAACCAGCATGACTGGAATGGATCTGTGCTGAACATCCAAGAGGACTACCACTTGGCAGAGCTGGCACTTGGCATGATGGAGTCAAAGCCCAGTGCTCCCCAGTATAAGAGAGCGCCTTCTTTTTCAGTTTGTAGAGGAACACAACAGCTATAGTTCAGGAGGTAGAGCTCCATTTGGCAGGGAGGAGGCCCAGGTTTAGTCACCAACAATTCCATCTCATTATTATCCATCTGAGAGACCCCTATTTGAAATCCTAAAGAGCCACCGCCAGTCAATGCTGAGAAAAACGGAATTGGGTGTACCAATGACACAATGTGCTTTAAATCAGTTAAAAGGCTCTAGCTCAGTGGTAGCACATATACTTTGAATAAAAAAGGCCCTAGGCTCCATTCCTAGCATGTTTGAGTAGAGCTTTTTGTCAGCTGTTAACACAGGATTGGATGAAGCTATGATTTGACTTGGTATACATGTGTGCTCACAGTTAATGCAAGAGGGAGGTGTGGCGGAAAGATGGTCTACAGTAGAAGCCTTAGTAGACTCAGGACCCATTTTTAGTTCAAATTTAGGTTCAGTTCCTTCAGTTTCTATGATATCTTTGTCGTTACACACAGCAGAGTCTTTTCCTGCCCGTTTACAAGAGTATGCTCCAGATAGGTGGATTGGACTACAACTTCTTTCATTTTTTGCAATGTCTAGTGGTCAGAGAAAAAGAGTAGGATGAAGAAGAAGGCTGTTGTGTTCACATTACCTACAGTACAACTTTGGAAAGTTACTTTTTTGGACTACAGTCCCCAAAATCCCTCAGCTAAGCATGGATAGTGGCCACGCCAGCTTTAAAGTTCTGAGGATTGTGATCCAAACCCAAAAGAGTCCAAGCTCTGCCTTCAACACAGGACTGTCCATATGAACCAGCTCAGATTCTTTTTTTTATTATTGCAATCTGTCTGGATCAGTTACATTTCTGCGGCCATCCACTTGGTGGTGCTGAAAACAACATCTACAAATCTCTCTTTTTCCTTCTTAAAATAAATGATGTCCGGCCTTCTTGATTGGTGGGCAAAGCTGCAGGAATAGCTCGGTCCACTTAGTTAATAGAAGGTTGGCAATGAGGCCGGGAGGGCGACTTTTGGGACACCCTGTATTTTCAAGAAGGGAAAGGAACAGTCATTTGAATAGACTCATCACTATGCATTGAATCACATGAATGACGCCCACACAGAGAGATGTGTAGATTATCATTTTCAATTAGATTTGCTCTGAATATTTGAGCGTAATTATGAACCAATATATTTCTATTGTATTTCTTTATCTCAGGATACATTTAATCAAATACCTTTGGTGCTTGACTCTTTTTCTTAACACTTCGTACAAAATTTCTGTGCATTGGAATTTATTTTTTCATGTCAGGAGCAACTTGAGAAACTGCAAGTCACTTCTGGTGTGAGAGAATTGACCATCTGCAAGGACGTTGCCCAGGGGACATCTGGATGTTTTGGTTTTTTAAATGTTTTTACCATTCTTGTGGGAGGCTTTTCTCATGTTCCCGCATGGGGAGCTGGAGCTGACAGAGGGAGCTCATCTGTGCTCTCCCTGGATTTGAACCTCTGACCTGTTGTTCTTCAGTTCTGCTGGCACAAGGGTTTAACCCACTACGCCACCGGGGGCTCCCTGCATTGGAATGACTAGATTTTTAATATCTTAATTAAGATGTTAAGGGCTTACATATTGCGTTTAGACATTTGAAACATAATTCTCATGAAAATGAAAACAAGAACAAGTCAGTGACCAACAGGGCACCTGCTTCCTTTGTCCAGGCACCCGGTTCGCCATGTCTGGTTCAATGCACACAGCCTCATCACAGCCAATGTTCCTGATGAGAAGGTGCCCCGAGGCGCCTGCATCACGGATGATGACTTGACGGCGCATCGAAGGTAAGTCATTCATCTAAACAGGAAGGAGAATCCAGAAAGCAGGGAGAGTCGAATGGGCAGTGCCACCAAACTTGCAAAGCAGTGTGGGTGGGTGGATATACGTCAGTGCCTGTGAGAATTGGAGGGAACATAGCCTGGTGAAGGCAAGGTAGAAGGAGGCCTAGCTTCACTGCCGTTCATCATAGAAAAATCATTTCTCTTGGTGTCTTGGTTTTTAGGCCTGTTCATGGGGTTCTTTGGGGCGTTGATTCAGAAATGGCATTGGATAAACCATATCAGCTCTGGTTTCTTAAATATAGTCAACATGATTCTTTATAGGCAAGCAGATGGTGACTAGTAAATGACATAGTTCTCTATCTCAAAAACCAGAGCCGAGGGCAGTGATTCTCAACCTGTGGGTCCCCAGATGTTTTGGCCTACAACTCCCAGAAATCCCAGCCAGTTTACCAGCTGTTAGGATTTCTGGGAATTGAAGGCCAAAACATCTGGGGACCCACAGGTTGAGAACCACTGCGATAGGGAGAAACTGGTGCCATTTTTGGAATCAGCAGGTCAGATATACCAGAAACAGGGCTATTATTTGAGGCACCAAAATGTGTGTTGGCCACTGGATATGGTGTCTTAGTGGCTATGTTTTAGTCAGGCATCCTAAAACTGCAACCCTCCAGCTGTTTGGGTCTCCAACTCTCAGAAGCCCTAATGAGCTTGTTCAATTGTCAGGAATTCTGGGAGTTGAAGGCCGAAACAGCTGGAGGGCCGCAGTTTGAAGATGCCTGATTGAGCCAGTATTGTGATAGATGAGAACCTGTGATGCTTTCAGCTCCCTTTAAACCTGAGTGCTAGGAGTGGGTTTCCCATGGAGCACTGCACCCCAGGCTCTGGATGCTGCCCACCTCTGGAGCAGATCAGGCTTTGCCAGGTGGGCCAATGATCTGATTTGGTATAATGCAGTATTGTGCCTTGTTCATAGGAGAGAAACAGCAATGTGGGTCCTTTAACAAATCTGTTAGGAGACACACAGCCCAACAAAAAAATTCTTGGTACCTTGGTTTTTAGGTTTGTTCCTGATTTGGAAAATGGCATTGGATAGACTGCATCAACTCTAGTTTCTGAGATAGGGTTATCACGGTTGTTGCTGGGAAAATAGTAGATAGCATATGTTCTGTACCTGAAAAACTATTGCTGATGGGAGAAAACGGGTGCCATTGTTGGAATCAGCTGGTCAAGTATATCCAGAAAAAATTGAGGCACCAAAATGTGTGTTGGCCAGTGAAATAAATGTAAGTGGGTGACCAAATTAGCAGTGTCTCAACATTCATCATTGTTCTGAAATGCCAGTCTATCTATTTCAGCCAATTCTGTATTGAAGAAAGCATGTTGTCATTTGACATAACAAGTTCAGTGAAATCGGTAGAGCGTTATCTTTGTGTTGTCACCAGAAAACCACCTGAGTGGCAGATACAGTTGACAGAATGATGCGAGATGTATCGACACAACACAGAGCCTTCCCCTCTTTTTTATTGTTTGGCACTTTGTACTTTCTGGTTCTGTGAGGTTGCAACTAAGAGATGTAACAGTAGAATAATCGCTTGCGCAGGAGTTGCAGGCAAGTCCTGTAGATTTCCCTGGCATTGCTTTTGGGAAGAATTTGCCTTGGATCCCATGGAATGGGTTGCAGAATGGTTTGATAATTGCCTTGCTGTGGGGAGTGATAGGCTGTGGCTTTGAAGGGTTGAGTTCTCTTCCAACTCAATGACACACACGTTTCTTTTTGCCCCTCTTTGGTCAGGCATCGAGGGATCATCTATGCCTACACATTCTCTGCGGACCACATGGCTGCCGAGAGTGTCCTTCCTATTTGCCGCTCCTCTTATAATGAAACGACTGGTTATAACTACAACATTGGCCTGGCAGTCCCCTACGACGACATCTAAGGAGGGCGCCTGAATGGCCATTGGCAAGGTCATGCCTCCGAACCCGGGAGCATTGAGGAGCTGCGCTCCTTGTTAGGACACTGAGCGGGGAATCCTGCAGCAAACACCCAAGAGTCTCCCACAGGTGAGAAGAGGAGGATAAAGTCGAAAGAGTAGCGGGCAAGCTCTGGTACAGGTGTGCCAGAGTGGGTTCTGCAAAGAGGTGCTGGCCCACAATTCCTATGGAAAGGAGGGGGAGTGTTGGAGGGGAATTGCTCCATCAGGAACCCAAGTGGAATTGCTCCATCAGGAACCCAAGCTGGGTCCCCCTCGCTTTGTCTCATAGTCCATAGAAGGGTCTTAAGACCCTTAGCGAGGAGAGAGAACCGAGGCTGCTGTGAGAAGAGATGAAATGGAGAATAAAGTGAGCATCACTTGAAAAATCTTCACCGTGGCCCTTCATCAGTGGTGAGACAATACAACTGGACACACAGTGGTGAAGAATATTACCTATTATCCATGTTTACATGAAAAATCATGTTTTTGTTGTTTTACAAAATAAGAATGTTATATTGTCAGTGGCACTTTGCAGATTTCAAAAAGGAAAATGAGCTGCTGCTTCTGCTTTTCATGTTCATGTTTTGTGCTCACTAGGGCCCCGTCTGCACTGGTTACTGTAGACTCATAATTGAGTTTAACTACATTGAACTGCATCATGTAAGTGAGCCTAGAGTGACCAAACTGCATTATAGGGCAGTGGATGGTTGCATCAAGTGGTCACCAATGGCAAAGCCAAGTAGATCTAAAGTTCTGTTTCTATCCCTCTTCTTTTCTTGCTTTGGCACCTGGAAGTCTGTCTTTGTATAAATTAAACAGTTGCAAAGAAGGTATTTATTAAATTCTGTTGAGACCCTGCTAATAAATCCTGCCAATTGGCAAGTTGTGTCCAAAAAGCCAAAAATGACCATGTCTTTGCTTTTGCTGTTCTTTCTTTGTTCCCCATTTTCAGTGAACTCAAAGAAGGAGTTTGAAGACTCAATGGCTGAAAAAACTAGCACACATGACAGCCTATAGTAATGTTTAAAACTATAGAAAATGTGTGACTACAGAAATATTGGTAAATATCTCTTGAATAGAGCCAGTATAAACATGAACTATATTATCTTGCAAGCCAGCTTACACAAGCCAAGCATGTCTCTCAATTTCAGTTTTAAATGCTTCAATTCCTATTCATTAGAATGTTGCTGAAATAATTAGCTGGAAATTTCTTTTTTGACACTTGATTGAATTCAGAGTAAAAACCTGCAGGTCTACTGGAGCATAAAAAGGCATTCCCTTGGGCGATGCAAATTTTAAAGGATCGAAAGTGGCTCATGGAGTCGGGGATTGCTCATCTATCAAGCACAAGCCTGAAAGCTGAAAGATTTCTTTATATTCTGGAATGCTGTTGGTTTCAGCAACTCCCCTTTGGGGGAAAGGTATATTAATTACAGTTAATTATGCTGACTTTGATACTGATGGCTTTTTTGTGACAGAACTATCATTTTCAACAGGGCTTTTCCAAACATTTCCACTCTTGGCCCCTTTAGGCCCAAGAGATGTTTATGTAACTCTGGGTACGAAATCCACACATTTACACATTATAAATCAGTATTTGCAAGGCTTGCTAAACCAGCTTGTTTTCCACATCTTCTGCAAAAGCCAAGGGGCAAGTTGGCACATTGGCAAAGAGGCCTCTGGCCTCCTTGCCAGTGTGCCCCTGTTCCCCCATCAACACCTATGGCACATTAGGAAGATAGCAAGAAGGGGCAGATGCAAGGAGGTCAGGAGGCCCCTAGGCCTGGAGGAGTATTTCTTTTTTAAAAACAGATATACAAAAGCCCCCCGAGAGAGGCAGGGAATAATGAGAATTGCAAACCAGGACACCTGGCAAATACTGGGTTGGAGGACCCCAACATTGAGCTCAAGGAACCCCATTTGATATCATAACCTCCTGATATCAAGACACAGCAAACAGCAACCTAGACCTAGGTAGATTTACCCAGCCAAATGTGTGAACGCTGGCACACGTGTGCCCTTTGGTTGTGCCACTGACTAGGTCAACTGCATGTAACTCTGTGAGGTTCCACTTACACTCCATCTCCTCAGCGTAAGCTCTCCTGCTCCTGGAACGTGATGCTCGACCAGGCCGCTGAGAAGGAAGGCTCAAACTAATATAAAGGAACATGCCACTGCCCAGGGTTTAAAAATAAAACTTGTTTTTAATTAATATTTTCAGATTTTGTCTCATGATTTGCCTACATTACGATCTGTAAAGCTAGTTCAGATCAAAGGCACCACCTGTTTGGTGGAACCAGTGGCCCTCTGGCTTGACCACTCTGGGAGACGCAACCCTCCTTGGACCCGTATTGACTACCTGACGTTTTGCTCCAGGTATCTGTAAAGGCACCAGCATTTTCCATCCACTGTCTTCTCCATCAGTAGCACATTGCAATGGGCTCCATGGTCAGGAAGCGGACATGCATCTTGGTCTCTAGGTCTATTCCTTGCCAAATCTGCAATGAGAAAGGACAGAAATGGTGTTGAAGGGCTGGCTGCAGTCAGGTCAAATACAGCCAGGATGACTGTCAGTGCCATGGACCATAGGTAGCATCATGGCACTTCAGGGTGGGATTGTGTCCACTGGGGTCAATTTTGTGGGTGGCGCAGGCCTCTGGGAGGATTTCAGTGGGGGAGGAGGGCTTGGGGTACCCCTTCCTTTGCTCTAGTCCATCCTCCCCCTCTCACAGCATGAAATTGAGGGCTACAAAAGCCTGAAGAGCTGAGCATTGAAGGTCCAGCCCATCTCTGATTTGCTCCAACCAACTGAATACATGAAGAAGAGTTCTAACCTTAAGGAAGTCTTCAAAGGTGATTCCCTCATATACTTGATCTGGTTCCTGCAATTAGAAGTGAAAAAGAGGTGCGATGAGGGTGGTTCTCAAAAACAAGGGTGTGTGTGACTATAATGAAAGGTTTCTTACCCAGACATAGTTGTGGCACTTTCAGGCCCCTTTTACACTGCCATATATCCCAGGATCTGATCCCAGATTATCTGCTTTAAATTGGATTATAGGAGTCTCCACTGCCAGATAATCTGGGATCAGATCCTGGGATATAGGGGCAGTGTGGAAGGGGCCTCAGTTCTAGAGCTGGGTGCCTTCCACATGACAGAATTATAGCACTTTGATACCACTTGAACAGCCACAGTTGTGTCCTGTGGACATCAAGGATTTGCAATTTGCAAACCTCATCAACCGCAATCCCCAGCATTCCACAGGATGCAGCCATGGCAGTTAAAATGGCCTTTATCTCCTAGAGCGGGCCTGCACAACCTATGGCCCTCCAGGCATTTAGGCCTCCAACTGCCAGAAGCCCTGGCCAGCTTGTCCAAATGGTCAGGAATTCTGGGGAGTTGAAGTCCAAAGCCCCTGGAAGGGTTCCAGGTTGTGCAGGTCTGCCCTAGACATTACACAGGACCTCCTATTCTCTATAGAAACACTTTAAAAAGTCGTTTTGGCTGTTCATTACCTATGGCATGGGTAAGAAAAGAAAGAAGATCTCATCTTAATCTCTCTCCACTGAGTTGAATCCCACCTGCCTACCTGGTCTACTCCCTTGCTGGGAAACCTCTTCTGCAATGGGTCAAAGTTCACTTTACACAGGTGGCAGCCACCTTGTTGTCGGATCTCAGAAGGAGTCCTCCCCTGCTACTCTCCTGAGCAGCTTACATGGCCGCCAACCGTCTATGTTCCTTCCTCTTTACAGACTGGGTGCTCACTGGGTTGATGCAAGATCCCCATGTGTACCTTGGTGCTGCCATGACCCACTATACCAGTGGTTCTCAACCTGTGGGTCCCCAGATGTTTTGGTAAACTGGTAAACTGGCTGGGATTTCTGGGAGCTGTAGACCAAAACACCTAGGGACTCGCAGGTTGAGAACCACTGCACTATACTCATTGAGTTTATCTTGCTGTTCTCTCACCTGTGCAAATCACAGCGGTTGCCCACCCACAACTGTGGCACTTCAGAGCGATCCTCTGTGAACTCACGCAACCTGCCCTCTTTCCTACTTCATGTGGTGCCTTTGGGTGGCAGACTTAGAACTGGATTTCAGTGGAAACACATCCCTTACATGGTGGGATTACTGCCAAACACAGCTCTAAATCTCTGGGCAAGTGCAGAATGATCCCTACTGATCACAGATGATCACTGCAAAGACCACAGTTCTAGACAGGCAACCTAGTCTTGCATAGTGTGAATTAGTGCTGGGACTGAATATGCAGCCCCAATGTAAGAGCTCAGCCAGAATACAGCATGACGTGTTACTTTAGACTTCCAGCCACATATACGGTACACATATACGGTGGTGGGACTGTCAACACTGAAGTCAGATTAAAACCTTTGTACAGAAAACAAAACTAGGCATACTTAAAAAAACATAGGAAGTAGTATAAAACCAGTAGAAATCAACCATCTAAAGCTGTTTATGTGCCTTCAAATAGACCCCAAATGATGGTGACTCTCTCCCAGGGTGTTCTGGTATGCTTTTTCCCCAGGAAGGGTTGCCATTGCCTTTCTCTGAGGCTGAGAGAATGTGACTTGTGTAACGTCACCTAGTGGACTTCCACAGCTCTGTAGGGATTCGAATCTAGGCCTGCTTACATCCCTGCCCAGCACTCAAATGCCAACACTAGAGGGTCTTTCAATCACCAAATGCCTGAACAAAAGGATGCTGAAAAACAAGTCCAGACCCTCAATCCTTTTGTTCATGTCCCAATTCCTCCTCTTTTTCCAATGTTTTACCATTTGGATTTAGGATTCTCCCTCCTGCTTTACAGCAGTTTATGTTGAAAAATGGTGCCTGTCCTATGGCCACCCAGTGAGCTTTGTGGCTGAGCGGGGACTTGAAGCCAGGCCTGCTTGGTTCTGTTGCAGTCCTCTCAGTCCCTCCAGTGACTGTGCCATGATACTGCTAAATACCCATTGCTGCGACAGGCAGTCTAGCTGTTCAGGAGACTTCTTTGAGTGGGGAAAAATGGTCCTCAAGCTTTTAGCAAGATTGATGGAGCGCATCTACTCTTCCCTTTTACCATGCTTTCAATTTCCAGTAAGTGGAATCAGATCTTATACATAAATGAAAAAATGCACACCCCAAGCTGGGGCAGGCTGCCTAGATCCTGTCTGTATCCTACAAGTCAGGCATCAGATCCTGTCTAACCTTGGAAGCTGAGCAGGGTTAGCCCTGCTGAGTACTTGGAGGGGAGTCTGCCAATGAATCCCAGTGCTGGGGGTGATCTTTCAGCGGAAGGAACTGGCATAACCACTTCTGAGCATTCCTTGCCAAAAAAACCCCTAAGAATACAACATCAGAGTATGACATGACTTTTTCTGGTTAATCCCAAATGAAGTGTACGCTGTTGAAAGAGAAAGTAACGTGGGCAAATCCTATTAAGCCAGTGGGTCTACCTGGTTCACTTCTAACTGGAGATGTCAGTCATGGAACTTGGGGTATTCTGCATGCAAAGCATGAGCGCGCCTACTAAGCTCCCGCTCTTCTAGGGTGTCCAAAGAGCATGGAAGAGACCAAGGTGGCCTACCATTTGTCCTACACAGATGGTGGCTGCTTCCATCATGGCGCCATCTGCGATGGACCTCACTGACTCCTTGTCCAGATGCGGGTTCCCAGAGAGCATCTCTTGCACAACCTGTCAGAAGAAGCAAGCCAAGCATTGGTTGGAAGGGGTGGCAGACGGTCCATGGAAAGGTCAATTTGAAGAACGGAAGGGCAAAATGATACATTACATTCCTATATTCCTGCAGAGTGATCTTCCCATCGCTGTCTGCATCATACATGTGAAAGAGAACTAGGAGAGACAAGGCAAAACACACAGGAGGGAAATCAGAAGGAACAGCAGGCAATCTCTCCTTTGCACCTGAGCCACTAACAATAAAAACCCTGGAAGGGCACATGCACTGGGTACAACTCATCAGGATCCTACTATAACAGTCAAGTGGTCTAGGTCTATGGGACCAATAGGGTTGTCCACTCCCCATGCAGCCATTGATTCAGATTGGGGAGGGCTGTTCTAGTGCATTGGTTTTGTTGGCCTTTCCACACATTTCTCAATTGGCTTCATCCTTTTAGATGCCAAGGTTATGTACAACTGTCATTTAGGTGATAAAAACACCAGGGCACCTTCATGATAAAAGAATCACCCCAAACTCTAGCAGAGAGGCAATGCGCTCATTAAAAAGCTTGGATAAATAAAACTGCTTTTAAACAGGCACAAAAACACTGGCAAAGAGAGACTGATCCTTTCTCATAGGGTTGATGCAAGATTCCCATGTGGATCTTCAAGTCATTTCAAACTTACTTTCATATCCTAAAGTTTTACTGACCAGAATTGTTCAGAAGACGTTTGCCTGCACTATGGATTGATCTTATAAATTTACCGAGAACCTTTGATAGATTAACGACCTCAATGATACACAATCTGTTTCTTTCCTGGAAACTCACCATGGACCACCAGCCAATGACTGGCCCCAGGCCCTGGACCACTGCTTTCAGTTGCCCTCTTTTGGACTCTAAGTCCCACATTCTCTTACCCCTTGAGATTGCTGGCTGGGGCTGATGGGAGCTGTCAGCCATGACATCCCAGGAACAACAGCTACTTACCCCTGACAAGTGAAGTCAAGAAAGAGTGTGATTTGTTTTGTATGCTGGCCTTCTGTGAATTTTTTTTACATCTTTATGTGAGTTCCCTTGAGAACCGTTGGGATTAAGGGGCAGGATATAAACATGGCAGCTCTTCACAATTCTCAGCCTATCAAAAGGTTACAAAAACTTGGCTTTAAAAGCCAAAGTTTAAACACCACTTTAAAAATGATGACACAAAAGCAAATGGGAACGAAGGCAAGGGGATAACCTCCATCATTTCTCAATTTATATTCATTCCTTATTGTCTTCAGCACAGAATGGCTGGCATTCCATTCATCACACATGCAATGCATGTGGGGAGAATTAGTCAATACAATGCAGAAGTCAAGTGCACATACAGCAATGGTGAATGTTACTGTTGAGCACTGCACACTGGCGCTGAGTATCTCACAATGGAACTTAGTTATTGACATGTGGTGTACAGTGTTGTTATAAATGGATGTGGGTTGTGTAGTGCTAGCCTGGTGGATCTCTGCATGCAGATATTTATGCTATACTAATGGATGTTGGACTGCAACCAATGTGAATAAGAGCTCAGTCCTCACTGCCACCCACACCAGTGGCAAGAAAATGGGACAGTGGTTCCACTCTGGGATTCGGTTTGAACTCCAAAGGAGCTCTCCAGAGCATGGAACCTATTAGGGGTCAGTACATTATATGGCTCTGGCCACCAGCTGCCCAGGTCTTAACTGAGGAGCCACATACATTTCAGCTTCTGCTTCCGGAAGCGATCCAATTGCTCTTCATCCATATTCATCTCAATGGGCCTGAAGTTAGACATAATGGTCAGGAAGTCTTCAAAATTGATCTCGTCCACCTGCCCCACAGAGGCTTCTTGCAGGTTCCTGGAGACATGATAGAAATGAGTGCACACAGGATTTTTTTTCTGCACAGATCAGAAAATCTCCCCACAAACCCTAGAAAATGGACTTAACAATTTTGTGGAGATGTCTGACAGATCCCAAGAGGACAGTAAAATGTCTGTTCCAGGGAAGGAATTCTTTTTTCCCAAAAACCAGGGACGAGAAAGGCTCAGGGTAGCATATCACATTAAAAATAGTATAGGCTACATAAATAAAATTAGGTAAAATAAAATATGATAAACATGTGCAAGGATCAGGACAAAAATAACACTTCAGAACAGGTTTAAATTTACAGTATGACGGGGTGGGGAGGGGGGGGGGCATACGTTCCAAGACATACATGTGGATATCTAAAACCATGGGTAATAAAGAACTCTATACTTTGACTATACTTGAGCTGCAAGCATAGCATAGAAAGGCATTAAAAGACCTAAAAAGGCTCACAAATATTGGGGTGGAGTATTTTTTGGGGTGTGGATAGACTGAATCAGTTGATTGGGGGGGGGGGGCATACTGTTTTGCTAAAAACCCAGGAGAAAGAAATGATACCGGGGATGTGTAAAATAGCTAACGAACGCCTCATAGTCATGCGTTGCTTTAGACAAGGCCTCACAATGTTGTCATTCTAACGTTACTCAAAGGAAACAAAGCTCCCACTACCTTACCTCCTATCAAAAAATGCATGGACAATTTTGGACCGGATTGGGTTGAACTCCAAGTCAGGGATGCGATCGAAGTTCTCCTTGCTGCAGAGGCAAAGGGGCAAAGGAGTGAGAAAGCTTCCTCAGGACTCAGTGGCATCTTGAGGAAGGCAAAATCTACCCCAGTGGTGTGAAGAGGACCTCAAATCAGACACAAAACAGGTTGCTGCACCTAGCTCTGTTGAGACTCGAGGCCCATGGAAATATTCAAGGTCCCAAGTCACATCAGATGCCATTTGCTTAAGACATTAAGAGAGGTGGGTAATAAATAAAATCATCATCACCACTCTCATTATCATCATTCCTACCCATGTGTCCTGCCTTCAACTTCAGAGCCCTTCACAGCTTAACTGTCTCCCTGAAATTCTGAAACCTGCCTTCTTGCTCCCCTCCCCATACTACATTCCTGGCTGGCCTTCTTGCACTGCACTGGATTCATGGGAAAGACCAGTTTGTGCTCCAGAAGAAACAAGAACTAGAGAACTGTTCCTTCCCTGTCTTATGCCAGACCAGGGCACCTTGATCTCAAAGCAGCAGCACAATGTGAAAGGTGAAAGAGGGCCATCTGGGCGTTAGAGCCACCTTCGCTCAAAGGGAAAAACATCTCATTAAACTATGAGCCACTCACTTATTAGCAAGCCAGTCTCCAGCCCAGGCAAAAGACTCTGGAACAGGCCTTGATCAACACCAGCAGAGGCCACATATGCCCCTCATTTAGCCTTTGAGGCTTGCTGGGGGAGTTGCTGAGCTACTTTTTTTCAAAGGCAGCAATGCGTCAGCCTGTTCCAGCATAAAAACAGAATGAAGTAAATGAAAGAAGTTGAATTTCAAAAAAATAGATAAATCAGTTAAAGATTACCTTTTATTTTCTCCTTTTTCTTGTGCCACCTTATAGTAGGCCACTGAAAGTCAGCATGGCCTAGTGGTTTGAGCATTTGGCTCCAGAGGCCAGGGTTCACATCTTGCTCAGCTATGAAAACCCACTGGGTGGGCTTAGGCAAGTCACACTTTCTCAGCCTCAAGGAAGGCTAACATACCCCCCCCCCCCCGAGGAAATCTTGCCAAGAAAACCTCTTATTAGGATTGCCTTAAGTTGGAAGCAAACTGAAGGCCCACAACAACAAATGGGGGGAAAAACAAGATAAAGTGCATAACCAGTCTTGCAAAATGCTAGAGCCAGTCTGAATTTGGCTTGGGCTTTGTCTAAATCTCTGAACACGGTTAGACTTAAGAAGAAAAGGAATTGGCAATGTCTCACCGGATTGTTGGTTGGTCCCCACTCAGCTGCTTGAATCTCCGGTGCAGGTTCTCAATTTGATCCGTAGTGACTATGGAGAGAAAGCAGACGAGCCTTTGGTGAATAAACTCAAGAATAGCCTAGGATAAGTGTTTGGCATCATGGAATCTACTGAACTTTCTAGTAATGATCCACCAACAGGTCTGGCCCATAACGTTTTGCTGCCTGAAGCAGACTAGTGACGTCCCAATCAACATTTATGTCAATCCTATTATTTCAATGGAAGTGTTCTAGTGTTGAGAGTAACCATTGGATATAGTCCCCAGTTTTAAAAAATCACAGTCGTATTTCTGTGGAAGTAAAAATCCATAAAACTAAACGAAAAGAGCTATGTCCATTGGCCTTTCATGACATGTCCCTGGACCTAGGTAATACCTCTCCTCTAGGAGAAAGATGGGCAGGTGTCATTCAAAACACAAAGGGGTCAGCAAACGTGGTATTATTAAGGTAGAGGACAACCCCCGGTGGTGCAATGGGTTAAACCCTTGTGCTGACAGGACTGAAGACCAACAGGTCAGAGGTTTGAATCCGGGGAGAGCGTGGATGAGCTCCTCTTATCAGCTCCAGCTCCCCATGCGGTTACATGAGAGAAGCCTCTCACAAGGATGGTAAAACATCAAAATATCGGGTGTCCCCGGGCAATGTCCTTGCAGACGACCAATTCTCTCACACCAGAAGTGACTTGCAGTTTCTCAAGTCGCTCCTGACCAAAAAACAAAAACAAAAAACAAACAAAACAAAACAGGGCAATATGAATTTCCCATGGTCATGCTAAGCCTTCTGGGCAAAATCAAAATTTAATATATCACAGCCCTTCTCCATCCCTCAATTGCCAGTATCCTTTAATCACCAGAATTTTGCTCCCAGCCACAGACAACCAATCTAATAAGCACAAATGTGTCAACAGCTTGTTCAATGAACACCAAAGCTGGGTTTGCATTTTCATCTCTCTATGCAAACAATGCTCCAAGTCTGCTCTTTTCTCCCCCACAAGCTGATAACTACTTGGGTCAATATTGGAAATCCATTACCATGACTTGCTATAGCCCAACTCACATTTGGGTGTGTCTGGCGAGAGCAGCGCCCCAGAAAGACACACCCCTGGAAACCCAAGAAGCCACCTAAACCTCCCATTGCAGCTGATTTAAGCTAAATGCTGCCTTCCAAGTGGCAGCAAAGGCCAGCAAAGGGTTAAAAAGCTCTGATCCATTCATGATTCAGTAAGCGTCTCCCATGAATTGTGTTACACCCAGGGAAGTCTCTGTTGAAGGCTGAATAAGGCTCGTTCAGAGGATCAGTAATGGAGCCAGCACTTCTTTAGGAGGAGCTTGAAGATGTGGTTGTTCCAGTGTGCCTTTCCAGAATAAGGAAACTCCTAGCATTATGTCCCAACGCATTTTATCAGAGATCTAGGATATCTACATGCCCACCCCCCTCCAAACACTCCACCTGTCACACCCAGCACTTTTAACTTTATTATTACATTTGGCCCTGCCACTGTTTTTAATTGCGTCATTGTGTGTTGTTAACGTTATTGCTTTGTTTTTTGAGTTATTTTGTTGTTGTTGTTGTTGCTATTGTTTGACTATTGTATTTGGGCTTGGCCTCTTGTAAGCCGCACCGAGTCCTCCGGGAGATGGTAGCGGGGTACAAATAAAGGTTTATTATTATTATTATTATTATTATTATTATTATTATTATTATTATTATTAATGGATACTCCACCACAGACATCAGAAGAGCTGCAAGACCGAGAACAAGCAACGAGAGTAAAGACAAAGATCCACCCAGAGGAAAAGTGTTCTTGCCATACATCAAGGGAACCACTGGCCGCATAGGGAAGCTGATGAAAAAACACAACATACAGACCCACTAAGAAAGTCCAACAAATGCTACATTCAGCAAAGGACAAGAGGGGTCCTCTCACCTCTTCAGGAGTTTACTGTATACAGCTGTGGACAAGTCTACCTATAGAGACCACCAAACGCAGAATTGCCCAGACACGAATCAAGGAACATGAAAGGCACTGCAGACTACTTCAACCAGAGAAGTCAGCCATAGCAGAGCACCTGATGAACCAGCCTGGACACAGCATATTATTTGAGAACACAGAAATGCTGGACCACTCCAACAACCACCATGTCAGAGTACACAGAGAAGCCATTGAAATCCACAAGCATGTGGACAATTTCAACAGAAAGGAAGAAACCATGGAAATTAACAAAATCTGGCTACCAGTATTAAAAAAAACCCTCTAAAATTATAACAGTAAATAAAGAACAACATTCAAACACAGGGGAACTTCAGAGAAGAAACAATCAGGAACAGCCAATCACCTCTCAACAAGGAATTCCCCCAGGCAGTAACAGGGCACATCTAAAAACTGTCAGGCCATCAAATGCTAATCAAGGTGGCCAATTGAAATATTCATAACTACCTCCAACAGACAACATTTCTCTCTCCCACCCTGGATATCATTCCAGAGATATATAAACCCAATTTTCCTAGTTTCCAACAGCCTCACAACCTCTGAGGATGCCTGCCATAGATGCAGGCAAAATGTCAGGAGAGAATATTTCTAGAACATGGCCATACAGCCCAATAAACCTACAACAACCCAATATGAATATTGCTTCTTAACTCTTACAGGAAAAGGAACCATATCCTTCTCGGAGCAGAATGGCAAAAGGTAACAGCTAGTCCATCTGCGGAGAGCCTATAAGAAGCACTGATCCCTTTTAGTCTGAATATTGGGCAGAGAAATTATGGAGGCAGTCTTCTGTGGAATGACTCTTAAGTTATCCATGGGTCATTTCAAAACTCGTAATTTTGCCCCCCAAATTTGCCCTTGACTTATATCTGAAGTCAACTTATACCTGAGTATAGTATGCGCTGTTTTGTTTCCAAAATGTATCAAATTTTTTTAAAAGAAAAATGAGTTATAGGGGGCAGCACATTGTTGACCAGGAGTAGAATATTATGTGCAGATCAAAACCATCAAAATGTATCAAATCAGTTGGGCTTGTACAATTGCAATTCATAGCAAGGAATGCATATCCTCGGCATGTTTTTTTTTCAATTCCTGTCAAATATGTTCAGATGGATTTGGTACCTTCTGGAAATAAATGGCACATCTAGGAAATGTGAAAAGGGCATCTTCGGTGGTGGGACTTAGCCCTTTCGTGTTGTGATCCCTGTCCAGCTGCTCCTTGCAATTTCCCAGAGACGAGAATGAGAGATTTCCACCTGATGCAAACAAATAGTCCACCAGTGAAGGGGAAGTTTCAAGCTTCCTCTAACCTCCTCCCTCCCCCTGCCACAAAGTTAGATTATTGGGGGGATTGCCTTTGGTGCATCTCTTCCAAGATGCCCACCCACAAGTAGAAATGTCACCATCTGATTCTGTTGGGATTGCTGGAGTTGGGCTCCATTACAGATGCTCCAAATTCCAACCCACGACCTTTATGCAGTAAAGCTATTTTAGACACAATGTGAATTTGGCTGCCATTCTTGCCTCCTTTATTTTCACAAAAAAAGAGGGGGGATAATTTCCCTGGATGTCACGTTCTAAATCTTTTCTATTCCCAACTGACGTTTGACATTCTCACTGGCTGATATCATTCTTGTCATGGAAAATTTGCCCACCAACAAGCCTTAAACAGCTGGAACTACAGCTTAGTTCAGTGCTCTTTTCTAAAAAGCAACTTGTATAAACTTGGGGGTTTAGCATCATAAACAGGAACTCGGCCCTGCGGAAATTGAAAGAGGTTTTCCAAAGAGTGGTTGGACAGGTGGAACAGAAGACAGACAAAGAAAGAAAGAAAGAAAGAAAGAAAGAAAGAAAGAAAGAAAGATGTGGTCCAGTTCAGAGAAGGAATTGTGAGGACTCCAAGGGTGCATCTCCACTCTAGGATTAATGCACCTTGACGCCACTTTCACTGCCATGGACCAATGTTATACAATCCTGTTTTACGTCTTAAGTCTTCTCTGCTCAAGAGTGTTGGCGCTGCACCAAACTACAATTCCCATGACTTCAATAGCACTGAGCAATGGTAGTTAACATGCATTCATTGTACAGTGTAGAGGCACACTTAGAAACTGGATTGTTATAGGTTTTTTAGGCTATATGGCCATGCTCTAGAAGCATTCTCCCCTGACGTTTCACCTGCATCTATGGGAGACATCCTCAGATGTTGTGAGGTCTGTTGGAAACTAGGAAAATCGGGTTTATATATCTGTGGAAGGTCCAGGTTGGGAGAAAGAACTCTTGTCTGTTGGAGGTAGATGTGAATGTTTCAATTGGCCACCTTGATTAGCATTTGATGGCCTAGCAGTTTTTAGGTGTGGCTTGTTAGTGGCTGACTTTTCAGGTTGAAGTAATCTGCAGTGCCTTTCATCTACAGATCCACCAAGAAAATCCAACAAATGCTACATTCAACAAAGGACAAGAGGGATCCTCTCACCTCTGCAAGAGTCTACCATATACCATGCAGCTGTGGATAAGTCTACATAGGGACCACCAAATGCAGCATTGCCCAAACATGAATCAAGAAACATGACAGGCACTGCAGACTAATCCAACCAGAGATGTCAGCCACTTGATGAACCAACCTGGACACAGCATTTTATTTCAGAACACAGACATACTGGACCACTCTAACAACCACCATGTCAGGCTACACAGAGAAGCCACTGAAATCCACAAGCATGTGGACAATTTCAACAGAAAGGAAGAAACCATGAAAATGAACAAAATCTGGCTACCAGTATTTTAAAAACCCTCAAATATTATAACAGTAATTAAAGAACAACATTCAAACACAGGGGAACTTCAGAGAAGAAACAATCAGGAACAGCTAATCACCTCTCAACAAGGAATTTCCCCAGGCAGTAACAGGGCACATCTAAAAACTGCCAGGCCATCAAATGCTAATCAAGGTGGCCAATTGAAACATTCTCACCTAGCTCCAACAGACAAAGAGTTCTTACTCCCACCCTGGACATCATTCCACAGATATATAAACCCAATTT